CTGACAGGTTACTATTTAGCTTAAATGTGCAGATTAGCACATGACCATGTTAGCTGTAGTAAAGCCCACATTTATTAAGCTTGTTCTGTGCTTTCCATCTCTTTCCCTCTTCAGAAATATATGTGACTGGCTTCATTAAAGACACCTCCACCTTCTGTCTCAACTCTAATCTTTTCTCACATCTTTATAGTATCTGACAATAATGACTGAAATGATTTTCCCACACAGATTCCTCCATGTCCCCCCATGCCTTTATTCATGGAAAAATAAACTCTACAATACATTGCTAAAATGCTTCACAACCACACAATTTAAGGGTGTGCAGTAATGATTCACATCAAACTAGTAGTGTATATAAGTCCATCAAGACTTAAGTACTATCAGAGGGCTCGTCCGGGATTTGAACCCGGGAACCTTCTCGCAACCCGAGCGAGAAATCATCCCCTAGACCAACGAGCCACAGAAAGTACCAAAACTTCATTGCAACAGAGGGAAATGCTTCAGTCTGGCAATCTTGTACAATGAGCATTCATCTTATATGAGCATGAATTGGTCATAGAGAGTATCCCAGGGATCCTTCACCCTTTTTAAGAGCACACACTGGTTGTGTAAGGAAACGGGTGAACCTGAGTGTGCAGTCTCTGAGTCTCAAAAGGGGCGGGGCTTAGGAAGGATCACTGTTTAGACCTGTAGGAACCCTGTTCTGTTTATCACTGTGCTGTAGTGACACTGACATAAACAGATATACAAAAGCGCAGTTACCGTCTTCAAGCCACTTCTGGATTTGCTGGATGTTCGTAGGATGTCATCCACACACCACCACTCATCATGCAGGTATAGAGCCAGCACTGGAGGGTAGACAGAGGCAGAACGCATTAGTCTTTGTGTTCCAGGTGTTTGTCTGATAAGGGCATAGTGTGTAGTTCCTAACCTTGCGTTGGATCATCAGGAGGGTGAAGCGCCAGCAGTGTACAGTCAGCCTGGGCATCTTCAAACAGCTGCAGCCGCCTTACATTGCTTGCTGTTATCGCTACCTGAGCAGACAGAAAGACGACTTCATGCACTTCATCTTCACTCCCTGATCTATGGAAGCCCATTTCCACCAGTGTGATGAAATAAAAAAATAATGAGAAACTTTCTCAAAATAATGACTAAGTATCTCGATATAATGAGAAACTTTCTCACTTTTTTGAGAAAGCTCCTCATTATAATGACTTACAGAATTCTTTTTTTCTGTCATGTTGGTGCAAATGGGCTTCCATACTGACCAGAAGACACCAGAGTAACAACAAACTTTTCTTTCTCCACTGTCAAACAAAATGGCAATAAAAAGGAAGCATTTCAGGAGCATAAAATCAGCCTCCAACTAAAAACAAGTGTCAAGAACTTATCCAGAATTCCCTCCACCATGCTATAAAAAGTGGAGACATTACAAGTGTTATGGTACCTTTGACGTCAGAGATGACTGAAAACACTCATCATAAATACGAGCTCTTGACTCCAAAGACGAGAAGTACTGTTCAGATGCTGATGTCAGGCCAGTGTCATCCACAGCTGGAAGGTCTACAGGGTACATGGCCTCTCATATACAGCTGTTTAAGCAGTAATTACACATACACTGGTTTAAAAACATCAACAAGCAATGACATCAGTAGAGACTGAGGTGCAAAGAGTCAACAGAGTTAACATTTTCCACTTTCCTCCAACCAGACTACATTCAGATTCTAGCAGTTTAATGCTGCATTCCCTGTGCGTACACAGAATATCAAATAGAAGATGTCTTGTGATCTTTTGGCAGGATGATAGTTCGTTACGGTATGATCGGCACATAATTCACGGTAATTAACGCAGGTGAACCGAGCTAAACATTAACTTTCAGGTCACGCAGTGTACTTGAAAGGTAGTGCTTCAGTTCAAGAATGTCTCAAAGTTATAGAAAAGACTGATATCGGTGCCGCTTCAGCTGTGTGCACTCTGAACTGCTAACATAGCAATGCTAGGAAAAACAACATGTACGCAAAACACGCATAATTCCTCACAAAAAGATTTCACAACCAATACTGAAGCCCTAATTTACCTCACTTCAGGACTGACTCAGTTATGGAAAGGTAGAGTCACACAGAGGTTGACAGGAGAAGCTTCAGCTCCACCTGTAACTTCCGTAAGTGTCACTTTGAACCCACCTTGACGTATTTTTTCTTTGACCTGCAGCGCCGCCCTGCGACGGGAGAGAGGCATTACGTCACTTCGTCTTTCTGCAAGCGCCGTCAAGTTCGCACAATATTCTCTGGGAGACTGGGACACGACCGGAAACACATGACGCGGACTTCAAAGTAAAAGTATGAGCTTTTTCCAAAAAAATCCTTTGTCAGACTAAATAGAACTAAATGTTGACCCAAAATAATGATCTGAGAATAATATAGTTTATGTCAGAACTGCAGACACTTATTATGGACGTTACAATAAATCATGTTTTGTGCAAATGTTTGTAATTATGGTTTTATTGAGTAGTACTTTAATTTTATTCTGAAAGGAGTTTACCGGATGTCTTGTATTTGTCGTGCAGAAGGTTTTGTCTGATATCAACCAGCAGGGACGAGCAGCTATTAACGTTAGCAGGCTACAATGTTGCTTGGCTTGATACCGAGCCGCTGGCTGCTGTCTCACCGGCACCGCCTCCTCCAGTGTCGCAACATCAAGTCAGAAAACACCGCAAGAGTAAGTGCTTTATAATAAATGTTTCTTATTAGCGTTTTATTTCAATGTTTGCATTGTAAAAGGTCACGAGTTGAGCGGACGTTATATGAAATGCAGCAGCGCCAGGTCGAAGGTTTGGTGTGTTTGGGCGCAGAGACTGTATGAGCATGTTACTGTTGTTTCCACATGTAGCTGCTGTAACGTTAGTAAACACATTAACACATTAACAACCCATTAATAGCTGAAAAAGCACGCAACGTAACATCATGGTGGGTATAGACTAACATTACATACTAACTTAGTTTATTGAACTTTTATTACCTTACAGACTCCCGACTAGATTATAAATGCTTAATTAAACCGAACATGATAACTGTAACCTGCTGAAAATGATGTTAGCTTTAGGCTACCATCAGTGGTGTAGTCTAGTTTATTGTAGTGGGTATACTGTGATGATTCCCTCCCAGCCTCGTACACACAC